CGCTGCCCCCACAATCGTACGGGGGAAGACCGTCTTGGGGCGACCCCTCAAGGATGGATCGCCTTGGAGGTACAGTAGTTTAGCCAGAATTCTGCGACATACACCCCATTGTGAATAGAAACTGATCTTTTATGTCCCTTTGTACAGCCGCCGGCATATAACCTTCCCTTTTCATTCCATATTACCTATTTCACTGCATCGCACCCCGTCTTCCTCCTGTCTCTGTCATCTCTCTCTTCTCTCTCCTCTCTCAGCTTTCATCTCTCTCTCTCTCCTCCTCTCTCTCTCTCTCCTCCCTTCTCTTTCCTCTCTCTTCTCTCTCTCTCTTCTCTCCTTCTCTCTGCTTCTCTCTCTCTCTCTCTCTCTCTCTCTCTCTCCTCTCTTTCTCTCTCTCCTTCTCTTCTCCTCTCTTCTTCTGTCTCTCTCTTCTCCTCTCTCTCTCTCTCCCTTTCTCTCTCTCTGCTCTCTCTCTCTCTCTCTCTCTCTCATCTCTCTCTCTCATCTCTCTCTCTCTCACAGACACACTTCTTCTCATCTCCCCCACTCTCACTCTGTCTCTCGCTTTCCACCTCTCTCTTCCCTCTCTTTCTCCACAGCTTACGATACTCGTCAGTTTGATACTACCAACCGTTACGATTAACTCGTGTGAGTGCATACTGAGCTTCTAATCTATCTTGGCTCTTTCTGCTATGAGCATTAAGCAAGTTACGGCACGGTGGGCCGATTGCCGTTCCATGAATCAAGACATGCAGACACTGCGAACAAGAGGCGCTCACGATCTGAGAGACCAGATGACGAAGCGGAATTAACAACTCACTTCGTGAAAGAAGTCAACCACTGTTCGCGCAATTAAAAAATTGAGGTATAAATAGGCATCACAATGAGCGTCGAAAAAAGCACACACAGCATGTGGGCCTGCACGCGCACTTGCGCACGCGCACGCGCACGCACACATGTATTCCTGAGATATAAAATAGTACATTGCTGAGCAAGTCGTGCATGGCAACAATCCGTAACACCATACCCTCCCATCATACTGACGTATCCATTCTCTTCACGCTAGAACACGCAGCGCCATCTATTAACATAATACCCGTAATTATCAAGTTAAACAGCGCGTTCAATCACGTGACCCGCACCCGTGAAAACACGTAAACACACACGCGCGCGCGCATATATATATATATAGACGCAGTGCATACATTTGGATACAAAAATACATCGAATGCCATAAAAAAATTCCTCTCCGTATAATAATAATTGTGGAGGGGGGCCGGGGACGGCTTCGGTAGTAAGCGTTCAATGTTCAATGGTGGCAGGCAAGCTGTAGCAATATCACATTCAGCCTCACGAATACATGCGTCAGCGCCGAAATCGCCGCGCTACCATTCATCGCGCAACTTTACAGTAACATATGTACAACAACAACAACACAACACAACACCGCTCAGCCGACGCTTGGCGCCGCATACACAACAAGACAACCGCCGTGCTTTCTTCGGTATTAAAAAATATTCGCGACTGCACCGCGCCAGGGGGGCGACACACCCCCCGGAGATGGTGGGGATCTTCGAAGCTCACAATCTATTTTGGTGCGGACGTGAAAGACTGCACGGCGCCGCGCACCCTGCTGGAACAGCGAGCACTAGTAGCGTCGATCTCTCGTCGTCGGTCATCACATGTCGCGTTTGGGACGGAGCGCGCTTTCTGCATCAGCAGCTGCCGCAGCGAAGCCGGCCTCCGTCGTGCAGCGTCCGACACTCGCGCGCGCAGGACGGCGTTCTTCTTCTTCAGCGAAGCAGTGCGCGCACGGCTGATCTCGTCTCGCCGCTCCTTGCGCATGTCTGGCGACTTCTTCGCGGACGGAGTTGTTGAGCGAGCGGCGCTCGTAGTTAGCGCACGTCCTTCGGACTCCGCTCGGGCATCGCGGCCGCTCTCCGTGCGGAAGGCGCCGCTGGGCGCTCGTTCGTTGCGCCGCGATTCGCTGCGCGCCATCACGGGCCCGAATGCCGGAGAGAGAGAAGCGGCTTGCGTGAGATCACTACGAGACACACCGTGGAGACACATGAAGACAGCGTGAGAGACATGTGAGGACACACGAGACACATTCAAACAATTGAGACACATGCAGACACATGAGAGAGCGTTGTACGTATTATGTAGCTACTAACTCTCTTTGCTAGACATCACGTGCAGGCAACTGCGGAGAGAGAAGAGAGAAAGAGGGAGAGGCGGAGAGGAGAAGGAGGGCAGAGCAGCGGGCAGAGGCCCAGAGGAGGGAGAGAGAGAGGGGGAGATGGGGCGAGCGGCACGCGTGCGGCGGGCAAGTGGTGGAGAGCAGAGAGGAGGGGGTGATGGGAGAAGATGGGCGAGGAGGAGAGGAGAGGGAGGAAGAGGCGAGGAGAGGCAGAGCTGGCGCCACGACGTCGGCGTGGGAGGGGAGAGGAAGATTGAGGTGAGAGAGAAGTGGAGAGATTGAGACGAGGAGGAGGTGAGGCGT